GGGAGAAGGGGGAAATGGGAGAGAGGGGGAAAGGAGCCGAGGATGGAGAGAGGGAGGAAAAGGAGGCAGACGAGACGCAGGAAGCGGAAAACGGAAGTTGGGGCGGAGGGGCGCGGAGGGACAGAGATAGGTCTGGTGCGGCGGGCGAGGGGGCAGGGGAGGTAGGCGGACGAGGGGGAAGAGGCGGGGGTGTAGGAGCGGAAATGCAGAGCAGCAGCGGGAGCCATAGGGCAGATATTGGGGCCTCAAGCCATGGCCGCGTTATGGTCAACAGCGACAGTATCGGCAGCAGTAGCAGCAGCTGCAGCAGCGGCAGTAACAGCAGCAACAGCATCCCCGTGCTGAGTCCGTCGAGTAGCATGGACGTGGGCGGCGACGGGCAGGCGGACACGCCCTGGGCGGATTACGGGGACGACCAGCGCAGGGCCGCGCATGCCACTGCTGCTGCTGCCGCCGCTGCTGTCGCTGCTGTTAGTGCTGCTGATGCCGCTGGCGCTGGCGAGCACGTGGGGGGCGGAGAGGGCGCAGCTGAGGGTGAAGGGGCGGGGCTTGGGGAGGCAAAGGGCGCAGGCGCGGAGGGCGCGGGCGCAAGGGGTCCGCACGTGTGGAAGGCGGGGCCTGGGCTGGGGGAGAGGCGGAGGAGCTTTGACGTGCGCGCACTGCTGAAACCGGAGGAGGGGGAGGCGGAGCAGAGGCGCGCGGGCGGGAGGAGCGGGCGCGGGGAGAGTTGGGCGGAAGTGGACTGGCTGGGGCTGGAGTTTGGCGCGTGGCGGGGGGAGGACCTGGGCGGGTTCACTTGGGAAGAAGCGGAGGCTGTGTGGGTGGTGGAGCGGGCGGGGGAGCAGGCGAAGGGGGGGAAGGGGAGCGATGAGGGGCAGGAGAAGGTGACAGATTGGGCTGGTGACTTGGGGAATGGGAGGGAGAGGAGGGAAGGGGGGGAAGCAGCGAAGGCGGGTATGGGCGGCCATGGGGGGGAGGGTGGGGAGGCGAATGGAAGGGGATTCGGCCATAAGGGGAGTGGGGCAGGAGAGAGCCGCGGGGAGAGAGGTGATAGCACAAGACAAGGTGCGGCCAGGTGCGAGGGCGTGCAAAGCAGTTGCAGTGTAGTGAAGGAGGAGAAGGAGGAGAAGGAAGAGGAGAAGGAGAAAAAGGAGGAGGAGGAGAAGGAGAAGGAGGTGGTGGTGGGGGCGAGGGGCAGGCGGGCGAGGGCGCTGTTCCCCACGTGTGTGTCGCTGAGCCACTACCTGAGCGACCCCTCCCACCCCGACGACGATGAGCCCCTGGAGGACGTGGCGCACGATGGGGGCGAGGGCGCGCATGGGGGCGAGGGCGCGCATGGGGGCGAGGGCGCGCATGGGGGCGAGGGCGCGCATGGGGGCGAGGGCGCGCATGGGGGCGAGGGCGCGCATGGGGGCGAGGGCGCGCATGGACAGCAGGGCGCGCATGGGCAGCAGGGCGCGCATGGGGGGCAGGGCGCGCATGGGCAGCAGGGCGCGCATGGGGGGGGCGCGGAGGAGATGCAGCAGGGGGAAGGGGAGGGGAGGAGAGCGGGACAGGGAGATGGGAGGGGTACGGGGCGAGTAGGGAGTGCAAGCGGAGGGGCGGATGGGTCGGGGTTGAGCCAGGAAGGCAACGTGCTGCTGCCTGCTCGTGCCCCTGCCAGCCTCCGTTTCTCCCCATCCAAGCCGCCTCGCCCATCCCCATCTCCTCCCACCCGTGCCACCCCGCCTCCCCCCCTCAGTCCTGCTCCCACCATGGCCTCTCAGCCTGCTTCTGCGGTCCCATCACCGGCCCCACCAACCCCACCGTCCACGCCACCCCCGCCTCCTGCGGTTGCTGCACCTGCGAGCCCCTCTCCTGGGGACTGTGTAGCCCACATGGCCGCGTTTCTCAGGTGCGCCTTGCATGCACATGCACACGCACACGCACATGCACACGCACATGCACACGCACATGCACACGCACATGCACACGCACATGCACACGCACATGCACACGCACACGCACACGCACACGCACATGCACACGCACATGCACACGCACACGCACACGCACACGCACACGCACATGCACATGCACACGCACATGCACACGCACACGCACACGCACACCACACGCACACGCACACGCACATGCACACGCACATGCACACGCACACGCACACGCACATGCACACCACACGCACATGCACACCACACGCACATGCACACCACACGCACATGCACACCACACGCACATGCACACCACACGCACATGCACACCACACGCACATGCACACCACACGCACATGCACACCACACGCACATGCACACCACACGCACATGCACACGCACACGCACATGCACACCACACGCACACGCACACGCACATGCACACGCACATGCACACGCACACGCACACGCACATGCACACCACACGCACATGCACACCACACGCACATGCACACCACACGCACATGCACACCACACGCACATGCACACCACACGCACATGCACACCACACGCACATGCACACCACACGCACATGCACACCACACGCACATGCACACCACACGCACATGCACACCACACGCACATGCACACCACACGCACATGCACACCACACGCACATGCACACCACACGCACATGCACACCACACGCACATGCACACCACACGCACATGCACACCACACGCACATGCACACCACACGCACATGCACACCACACGCACATGCACACCACACGCACATGCACACCACACGCACATGCACACCACACGCACATGCACACCACACGCACATGCACACCACACGCACATGCACACCACACGCACATGCACACCACACGCACATGCACACCACACGCACATGCACACCACACGCACATGCACACCACACGCACATGCACACCACACGCACATGCACACCACACGCACATGCACACCACACGCACATGCACACCACACGCACATGCACACCACACGCACATGCACACCACACGCACATGCACACCACACGCACATGCACACCACACGCACATGCACACCACACGCACATGCACACCACACGCACATGCACACCACACGCACATGCACACCACACGCACATGCACACCACACGCACATGCACACCACACGCACATGCACACCACACGCACATGCACACCACACGCACATGCACACCACACGCACATGCACACCACACGCACATGCACACCACACGCACATGCACACCACACGCACATGCACACCACACGCACATGCACACCACACGCACATGCACACCACACGCACATGCACACCACACGCACATGCACACCACACGCACATGCACACCACACGCACATGCACACCACACGCACATGCACACCACACGCACATGCACACCACACGCACATGCACACCACACGCACATGCACACCACACGCACATGCACACGCACTTTGCTGGAAACATAACATTTTCAAGTCACATTCATGCTTCTTACTCTGCTTCTGTCGTGTAATGTTGCTCCTAGCCTCCCCCTTATAGTGTCCCCGCTCTTGTCTATCCCTCTTTATGAGAGCTTATCTCATTTCCTTCCCTCTCCTCCTTCCCTGTCCTGCCAATTCACCCGTTTGTCACCACATCAGAAACTTCCTGGATCTTTCAGCCACGCCGTTCCTCTCACTCTCTCTGCCTGCTGCCACCATCGTGAGCTGTAACGACGCCACGTGTCACACGCTGGGATGGCCACGTCAGCAGCTGCTGTCCCGCAAGCTGGCCTCTCTGCTCGTTCAAAATCAAGCACAGCAGGAAGCGCAAGCCCTTGAGGAAGAGCAACAGCAGGAGGAACTGATGCAGTCTGAGGGTGGGGAGGAGGGAGATACGGGGCACAGGGATAGGCCGATGGCGGTGCGGCAGCAGCAAGGGGAAGGGAGGAGGGAGAGTGAGATATCTTCTTTGGATTCCTGGCTGGGTGCTATTATGCGCACTGGGGTTGGGGAGGGGCCCCTTACAGTCACTCTCGCGAGGCCCAATGGGTTGGCTGCTGTGCGCGCCACTCTCTTTGCTGCCACCCTACACCCCTGCTCTCCGCCCTCCCACCCCTCTCAACCGTTCCACTCTGCGAGAGCAGGCAGCGATGGTGGTGGCAGTGCAGCAACAGCAGCAGCAGCAGCAGCAGCAGCAGCAGCAGCAGCAGCAGCAGCAGGGGAGGCCACGGTGGCCATCATGCTGCAGGTGCTGCCGTGAACCCTCTCCTCCATGTGCGCACACGATGACACCTACGGATGGCTGCTGTAACGCACGGCTCGCCAACCTGCGATAGCTCTGCGAGGCTTGGCGAGAGAGAGCATGCCACGGATTGGCACCGATGTACAGGAAGGGCGGCAAGGCAAGGGAGTTGGTGCTGCTACATATCCGGTCAATGTTTTTGAGATGTTAGCCGTGCGTGGGCTGTAGTCTGGTTTGCCCTGCCAGCTCAAACTCGCCTCTAGATGCATGATGTTGCAGGGTTGAACCACTGGCTGTAGGAGAAACCCTGATGTACTTATTCAATCATAGGGCTGCTGGTTAGGGCTGCTGGTTTAGTCAACAGCGATCACTTGTACCACTGGTTCAGTACTGATTCCTGTGCACTGGTTGAGCCATTCAGTACCTACTACAGACAGAGTCGTAGGTACGGTAGGTATGTTTCTTGGCAAATGGATGATCACGATTCACGACCCATCCCAAACATTACCAGTCTGCCTATGTGCAGCTTCTACGCATCGGGTTATTGCTATCCCGCAGGGAGTGCTGTGCTGAGCTCCTTCTTGTGACAATACAAGGAGCGACTCTGCTGCCTCTGCTTGAATATGTGCCAGTGAAGCTGCATTAAACAACCCATTGTTCCTTTCTCCCCTCTTCCATACGATCAATGCACTGTTTGGAAAGAGAAACATACCGGTAGGGGATACACAGTACGGTAATACAGCCTGAATGGACCTTGCAAAACTGCGATGCATTCGTACAACACACGTTGCCGTATCATCAGTGGCGCCTAGTGCCTTGGTCGGCACCGCCACAGTGCCACTCCAATTGCAGCAGCAGCCAGCACAGCAAGCAGTGCCTGTAATGGGGACAACAAAAACGAGGATGGGGAGGATACAAAGGGAATGGCATGTTATCACCACCAGAGAGCACACAAAGCGAGGGGATGCGGGCAGATATCAGATGGGAACACGAGCGATGAGATAAGGTGCAGTTGTGGAATAGAAGTTTGAAGCTCACTTTGGATTCTGAAGTGAGGCCCGGGTTCTGCTTGGGCGGCAGTGACAGCAGGCGGCGCCAGAGGGGCTGAGTGGGCACGAGGCTGACAGCTGTGTACTGCTTGGAGCACGGCACTGGGAGTAGCTGAGTCAGCATGGCGCGGACTGAGTCAGCGCTGAGCTGGCTGATGAGACGCAGACGGATGTCCTCCAGTGCCTGGTGGGGCGGCAAGGGGGGCGGACGGTGGGGGAAATGGGGTGAGGAGGAGAATGAAACGGTTGGTGCATGCGTAAACACCCACACTGAACAAGCTCGCGAGAGAAGAGCAGCTCGTTACCTGGTGTGCCAAGCCATGGGAGCCCAGCCACCAACACACAGCCGAGTCTCCACAGCGTGCGTTGCCCAGGATTCTCTAAAGCAACAGACAGCAGCGAGACGTCACCTGAAACGACTCGTCCACATTGCCGTCGTACAGGCGCGTCTGGTACGCGCGCACGACGCGGTCGAGCCAGAAGGAGTTCTCCTGCAGCCCCATCTCGTGCGCGCGCTGCTCCAACTCCCGTGCCGTCTTCACGTCTGACTCCTCCGGCCCCTCCCTCTGCACTCGCTCTATCTCCGCCACACTCAGGTCCACCTGCCAGGGGTGGGTGCAAGATGAACGGATGCAGAGAGCCTTGCTGACTCACTGGCGTGGCAAGGTGAGCGGATGCAGCGAAGAAGAAGGGACGAAGCAGAGTGGAAGCAGCGAGGAAACATGAAGGGCGAAGCGGCAGAGAGGCGTGGAACGGAGTACCGCAGCAGCGTGGGAGAATATCGACACAGAGATGCGTAGAGAAACAGAATCTCCTAAAACCCGAACGAAAGTCAGAGCAAAAGCGACTGGAGCAGAGCAGAGCAGAGCAGAGCAGAGCAGAGGAGGGAGCGCACAAGGGACCAAGCGGTGGTGGGGTCGCAGGAGAAGGCGACTGCCAGGTCCCCCCGCACCCCGCCGCCTCGTGATGGCCGCGCCCCCCCCAGGAAGGACGACGCCGCCACCGTGTAGATCTGCCGAGGAAGGTGAGGGGGGGGTGAAGGGGGTTGGTGGCATAGGGAACAGGTGGCAGGGGAGGCAGGTGAACGGACAGGGCGGAGGCGGGTAGAAGGAAATGGCAGGGATTTGGGAGGGGAAAGGGTGAGAGTGGGAATGGAGAGAGGCGTGGAAGGCGTGGTGGAGCGGGTGAGAGGGGCAGGAAATGGGGTGGAGCAGGCGAAGGAAGGGAGGCAGGCAGTCAATGCCTCAAAAGAGAGCGACTGCGAGGCGAGTGGGGGTGAGAGGCGAGTGGGAGGTGAGAGGCGAGTGGGAGGTGAGAGGCGAGTGGGGGTGAGAGGCGAGTGGGGGGTGAGAGGCGAGTGGGAGGTGAGAGGCGAGTGGGGGGTGAGAGGCGAGTGGGAGGTGAGAGGCGAGTGGGAGGTGAGAGGCGAGTGGGGGGTGAGAGGCGAGTGGGAGGTGAGAGGCGAGTGGGAGGTGAGAGGCGAGTGGGAGGTGAGAGGCGAGTGGGAGGTGAGAGGCGAGGTGGCAGGGGCAGAGAGTGCAGTGAGATGAGAGAGGCGTGGTGAGGTGAGAGACCTGGCCATGCTTGAATCGCAGCAGCTGCATGATGCGCGTCTCCAGCAGCTTCGTGAGGAAGCCCACCCACATCGTCTCCTCCACCTGACCGTGCTCATGTGCATGGCGCATGGTGCATGGCATGGCATGCAGTCACATGGCACGCAGTCACATGGCATGGAGTCACATGGCACGCAGTCACATGGTATACATGCAATTACTGCCATGCAGTCACGTGACATAGACTCACACAACACGGCAAATTGAATGAAAGTCAGACACGACACAGTGATGTTGCGCGTCTACACATGAGAATGAGCATTCAAAATCAGAAACTTTCCATGCAAGGCGCACTCATGACTGTGAGTCCCTCCATGTGTGCCTACACGTTGAGAGGGTAGGTGAACACGTTGAGACGCCTCAAGCACGCATGGAGCGGCACGGCACTCACGACTTTGGGGCTGGCAGGGATGGTGAGGGGGAAGGTGATCTGCGTGTAGCCCTGCGCCTCCACCATCACCCTCCTCACCTCCTCCCTGTGCTTCCCCACCACGCACCACACAGCACACGGCGGAGAGGGCAGAGGGCAGAGAGGGCGGAGGGCGGAGAGGGCAGAGGGAGGAGAGGGCAGAGGGAGTAGTAAGTGGGCTATTCAGAAACAGGGTAGGACAGAGCATCGACACGAGCAAAGCACATCAACAGAGAGACGCGCACAAGGGGAAAGCTGGCAGGACCCAGGCGCTCCCAGATGTCAACGACCCCAGAGCAGAGCAGAGCAGAGCAGGGCGCACCGGATGAGGGAGTCGGGGAACTTGAAGGGCAGCGCCGTGAGCGAGTCGCGCTCGTAGAGCGGCATGGCGGCTGATGGGGGAGGCACTGGGATGCCGCCCTGGTGTGGGGGATGGGGGATGCGGAAAAGGGGGAGGAGGTGGCGTGCATGTCAGACCGGTGGGTGGCATGCATGTCAGACCGGTGGGTGGCATGCATGTCAGACTGGTGGGTGGCATGCATGTCAGACTGGTGGGTGGCATGCATGTCAGACTGGTGGGTGGCATGCATGTCAGACTGGTGGGTGGCATGCATGTCAGACTGGTGGGTGGCATGCATGTCAGACTGGTGGGTGGCATGCATGTCAGACTGGTGGGTGGCATGCATGTCAGACTGGTGGGTGGCATGCATGTCAGACTGGTGGGTGGCATGCATGTCAGACTGGTGGGTGGCATGCATGTCAGACTGGTGGGTGGCGTGGTGGAAAAGGAAGAGAAGTGGGGAACTTGGCTCGTTGGTTGAGGTGACTGACTGAATGGGTGAGTAAGTGCGTGCACGAGTGGGCGAGAGAGTGTGATTGTGAGTGGTGATATAAGTGCTGCAATTGCTGCAGCACCCACCTCTTTCTGCCCACACACATCGACTCACACACTTAACTTCTGCCCACCCTGCGCCTGTGTGGCTTTCATTGCCACCTCACCAGCCACTGCCTGCACCTATCAACCGTGCCCTCACCAGGTACTGCTTGATGAGCGGCAGCGCCTGCTCCAGGCGAGTGCTGCCGACGATAACGGCAGTGAAGGGCGAGGGGTCCTTGAACGCCCGCTCAAAGTACTCACACGCCCTGCTGTAGTCCACGCGCTTCAGATCCGACTCTGTTATTGGCTGCAGGGGGAGGGGGACGGTGGGTGGGGATGCACGGGGGTGGGAGGGAGACATGCACGGGGATGGGAGGGAGACATGCATGGGGAAAGGAGGAGCGCAGGGGGGTGCTGCCGACGATGACGGCAGTGAAGGGCAAGGGGTCCTTGAACGCCCTCTCGAAGTACTCGCACGCCCTGCTGTAGTCCACCCGCTTTAAATCCGACTCCGTGATTGGCTGTAAGGGAGAGATCGGGAAGGGCGGGAAGAATGCAAGAGGATGGGAGGGATGCACGAAGGTGCGAGGCCCACCTTCCCCCTCCCCTCCCTGCCAGTACCACCCTAATCCCCATTCCACTCATCCTGTACCCACACAACACCTTGAACTTGTTGTAGCTGCTACCATATCCTCCTGACCCTCACCCCTCCATCCCACCCCTCAATCCGCACCAACGCTGCACGTCTAACCTTGAATTCGTACCTGCGCCCGTAGCTCATCTCCCTCACCGCCACCCCTCAACTCCACCTCGCTCCTCCCTCGCGCTTCCCAACCCCCACGCCCCGCCCCCCACACCCCTCACAGCACCTTGAACTGGTAGCTGCGGCCGTAGCTGATCTCCCTCACGCGGTTGGCGAAGGCAGTGAAGGGGTCGCGCTGCTGCCCGCGCACGGCCTCGCGTGTCATCTGCTTGATCAGCGCTATGTCCTTCGCCTCCGCCCGTATGCTGCACGTGAACAGCTGGTACACCAGCTGCACGCACAGGGCGAGGGGCGGGGGGGGGGGGGGGGATGAAGATGAAGATGAAGATGAAGATGAAGATGAAGATGAAGATGAAGATGAAGATGCAGATGCAGATGAAGATGAAGATGAAGATGAAGATGCAGATGCAGATGAAGATGAAGATGAAGATGCAGCATGATCAGCGCTATGTCCTTCGCCTCCGCCCGTACGCTGCACGTGAACAGCTGATACACCAGCTGCAGAAGGGGCGAGAGGAGGGGCGGTAAGTCAAAGGGTGCGATGCGGAGGCATCGGGTGTGGTGCGTCTCATGACTACTTCCTACACACGCATGCCCTCACTCCCCACATCCCCTCACTCCCCACATCCCATCACTCCCCACATCCCCTCACTCCCCACATCCCATCACTCCCAACATCCCCTCACTCGCACATCCCATCACTCCCCACCACCACCACCACCACCAGCAGCACCCCACGGCACCTGCAGAGCCGTCTCGAGGTCGTCCGGCGAGCACTCCCCTGAGAGCACGCGCATGTAGGACGACAGCTTGCACCCTAGACTCCCAGTCGACTCACAAGCCACCTTAAAGCCCAACAAGGGTGCGGCAGCCAGCTCACCTGCAGAGCCGTCTCGAGGTCGTCCGGGGAGCACTCCCCTGAGAACACGCGCATGTAGGACGACAGCTTGCCGCCCACCTCCATGCGCTTGCCGGCCAGCAGCTCCGCCATGACAGCTGGCGGGTGGCCGAATATGCCCGCCTCCCCCGCGATGCTCTGCGCCATGGCCGCCGTGTAGTAGTCCGCTTCCGACACCTCCGAGAGACCCCCGTACGCGTAGCCGGATATCAGGATCTGCGGTGGAGAAGCAGAGACGTTGGAGGGTTGTTAGAGAATCGGATGCTCTGCGCCATGCCATGGCTGCCGTGTAATATTCGGCTTGAGACACCTTGGACAGACCCCTGTATGTGTAGTGGTGGGGGAAGGGGGGGGCAGATGGACACAAGGGTTGAGTTGAGAGAGCATGCGATGGTTGCTGTGCGCCATGCCATGGTTTCAGTGTGGCAGTCGGGGAAGCACAAGCTCGAGAGACCCCCGAATGCCTACCCGGGTATGAGGATCTGCACCATTCCCATTGCCATGAGGCAGGCACTCAAGTGGAGTGCCAGAGCCGAGCATTGAGTCCCTGGAAGAGGCACGGCACTGCACGCTAGCCCAGCAGCACAGCCTGTGAGTAGAGCTGTGCGTGCTGCAGCAGGCCAGGTGGCAGCAGCGCTGACAGAAACGGCAGCGCCTTGCCTGCTGCCCCCAGAACCGCACACAACCCTGCCACATACCCCTGCTCCACCCGCTGCTCCTCCCCCCTCCCCTTCCCCCTCCCCCTCCCCCTCGCTCTCTTTCCTCCTCTCGTCGCCTCTCTCCCCCCAGAAGGAACGGGGTAGAGAGGAGAGGGGAGGGGCGGGCGGGCAGTGGGCACGCAACCGCTGGCTGTGGCTGCTCTTGCCCCTCTGCAGGCCTTCAGAGCTGCCACGTCAGCTGCCAGCTCAGCGCACATGCTTGCCACGTGGCAGCTGCAAGCAGCGCCAATCGCGGCCAGTGTGTCGAGCACCTCCTGTATCTCCCTCCCCTCCTTTCCCACCACTCTCCCCCTCCCATCCCTCTCTCTCCCCCTCTTCCGTCCTCGTCCCAGCCCTCCCATTGCTGCCCATTCGCCCCAACCACCCACACCAACACCACCAACACCACCCCAAGCACCGCCCCCATCCACCCATCCCATCTCTCCTTCCACTCCCTCCTCTCCCTCACTCCCCTCTTCCTCCTCCTCTTCCTCCCCCCCTGCCCTCACTGCCCTCTCCATATTCCCCAGCAGTGCATGCACACACGCTCTCACTCCGACTGAGTGTGCCGGCCGCAGGACCGCAAGCAGACACCGCCCCGCTGCCCGCACAGCCAGCGACTTGTCCTGTAGCGAGGCGAGTACAGCTGAGAGGCGCCGCCCGGAAAAAGTGGCGACTACATTCAGGAGAGAGGTCGTGGCGGATGGAGCAATGGTGGGTGAGGTGGTGACTGGGGCAGGTGCGAGCTTGGGGGCGTCTGAGGGCACAAGAAGAGGCTCCTGCCTAGTGATGCCAGCAGTAGCTGCAGCATCGTTGCTGCCACCGGTGCTTGGAGCAGCAGTTGCAGCAACGAGAGGGATGGGTGAGGAGGAGAGGAAGCGGAAGAGAGGGTCCCCCCACAGGAGCAGCAGCCGGGAGAGAGATCGAAGAGCGAGCGCTCGAATCGCCGCCACGTCATCACTGCATCCTCCAATCAGATGCGAGCACGCCTCAAGTGCAACCCGCAGGGAGGGCGAGGAGGAGGGGAGTAGGGAGGATGGGATTGAAGGGGTTGACGAGTTAAAGCATGGAGCAGCAGTATGGAGCGTATGGGGTGTGGCGATGGCAGCTGCAGCAGCAACAGCGGCAGCTCGCACAGCACGATAGTCATCCTCCATGCCCACCACCACCGCCCCTGCTGCTGCCTCCCTCAGGCACCGTAGCCACTTGCACTCACTGTTCTCTCCTTGCCCTCCCTGTCCCACTGCCTTCTGCTGCTGTTGCTGCCGTTCTTCTTGCTGCTTCTTGCGCTTCGCTCTCCTTCCACCCAGCTGTGGTTCCGAGTGGCTTTGGCGGGAGGGAGTGAGGAGCAGGGGCAGCGGGCAGAGGGAAGCGGGTGGCGGGTGCTTGAGCTTCTTGGAGAAGGCCTGCAGGAGAGCTGCCTCGTAGGGGGCGGGGAGGAGGAGCGGTGCGGCCGCTGGGAGGGGAGGCGGCGAGGGGGAAGAGGAGGCAGCAGGGGCAGGGAGGAGAGGCGGTGAGGCAGAGACGAGGGCAGCTGCGGTTCGGAGTGCAGCGCATCGGACGGTGGGGGAGGGGTCGGTGGCGCGCGCTGAGAGGGAGAGGAATGTGATGTCTGACACTGCTTGCCATGTCACTGCCTGCTGCTGCTGATGCTGCTCGTGCTGGTGGGCAGTCCCAGGGACACGTGTGCCTCGTTCCGATTGCTTACCAACACCTTCACCCCCTCTCTCCCTTCCCCTTGCCTCCCCCCGCAGCAGCAACGCCACTCCCTCCCGCCGCACCCACGCCACCACGTGTCCCACCAGGCGCACGGCGTGCAGGCGCACGTGCTCACAGTCGTCCTCCATGCCCTCACATGCACGCTGCACCATGCCTGCCACCGCTATCAGCAGCACACCGCCCTCATCACCCTCACGGCTCTCATCGCTCCCGTCCGCCACAGCCCTGCTCCGATCCGCCTCCCCCATTCCACATGGCCCTCGCATCGCCTCTCCACCCAGCTGCCGTTGAATCTCCTCCGCCCTGTCCTCTCCCCTTCTTTCCTCCCCCGCTCCTCCTCCCCATTCCCCCGCCACCACCAGCCAGGGTACCTCCCCCAAGGCCCCCAGAGCTGCAGCGCGGACAGATGGCACGCTGTCATTGGCTGCGGAATAGAGGGCGGATGAGAGGAGGCAGGCGTATGCAGAGACAAGGGAGGTGGAGGGGCGGGGCAAAGGCAGAAATTCTGCTTCCCTGCTCCTGTCCTCTCCTCCTTTCCCTCTAGCTCCTCCAACCCCTCCTACTGCCCCTTCCTTCCCCTTCACTTCAACTCCCCCTTTCCCTTCTACCACCCTCTCTCCTTTCCTCCCCACCCGCCACCTCTCCCGCAACCCGGCCTCTGCCAGCAGGCGGGCGAGGGCGAGGGAGAGGTCACAAAGGCGCAGGCGCACGCGGTGGGAGGGGTGGCGGGACAGGGTGCGGAGGAGGGGGGCGAGGGCAGCGCGCGAGAGGAGGGGAGAGAGGAGAAGCTGGCTGGCGGCAGGAGACTCAGGGGTGGGAGGCTTGCGAGGGTTGAGTGTGTTGAGTGTGACTGTAGCGGAGTGCAGTAACTGCTCCGTGATGCACCAGGGGAGAGGGCGAAGGACAGAGTCGGCAGCAGGTGGCGTGGTGGTGGCAGCCGTGGCATCGGTGGTTGCAGTTGGGGGAGGGATGGAGGAAAGGCAGGCAAGGAAGAATGCCACGGCGTGTGCACTGGCACTTGCTGCAACAGATGCAGTCGCTACACATGATGCTCTTGCAGCAGCGGACTTCTCAAGGGAGGCGAAAGCAGCTATAGCGGAGGGAGGATGGCTCCCAGATGCTTCCGATGCGGATGCTGCCATGCGTCCCAACCCTCTTCCATGCTTGATCCACAATCCCACACATAAATATCTGCTCTCACATGTGCACGCGTCTGTGCCTCTGCAACCCTGCACATTTATACCACCAGCACCAGAAGAAGCAGCAGCAGCACCAGTAGCAACAGCCCTTCCTTGCCTCGTCAGCAACAGCACGATCTGAGTCAGCAGCCTGACCACCAACACTGGCGCTGACAAGGCACCAACTTCAGGCAGCATTGGCCCATCAAGCCACGTCAGCAGCAGCCTTTCCAGCTCGCTCCCGGCCGCCAGCAGGAGAAGCCGATTGGCCGAAGCACAGAGCAACGACTGACTCCCTCTCTCTGCTCTACACTTGCTGCTCTCCCTCTCTGCCCTCTGCAGTGCTGCCTCTAAGCCCCACAGACTGCACTCCACAGCGCACACCTCATCACCGCACAGCACTCCTCCGTCTCCTCTCTCCTCCCTTCCTCCTCCACCCTTCCGCCCCTCCCTCCTCGCCCCTGGCCCCTCTGACTTTGCTTCCAATGCATCCCATCTGATCCCACTCCCTCCCCCGCCTGCCTCACAGCCCACACACCGCAGCTGCTGCAGGCAATGCACCACCTGCACCTGCCAGGGGGTCACACCCCGCTGCTGCTGCTGCAGCTGCTCCTGCTCAGGCCCAAGGGAAGGGAGGCCCAATGGCTCCACGCACATGCAGTCTCGCCGCCAGTGCAAGCACTCCTTGCACGAGCACACACACGGCCCGCCCTCCCCTGCTCGCACCCCTCCCTCCTCCACGCCTTCTCTCTCTCCCTCCATCCCCTGCCCCTCCGCTTGCATTTCCTGTTGCCCCTCCCCTCGCCCCTCCTCGTCCTCTTCTTGCTCGTGCTGAGCCCGCCTCTGCCCCCACCAGCCCCACACAGCAAGAGGGGAGGGGAGGTGTGCAGGTGAGCCGGCTGGAGTGTCTACCATGGTTAAAGCGGCTAGAGCAGTTAGAGTGGCAACAGCGGCGCCTCAGCTTGCGGATCAAAGGCGGCCCCATCTCAACGCGGAGCACCGGGCATGGGCCCATCTCCTCCCCATAGCCTTTTTCCTTCTGCATGCCCCACATATCCTCCTGCATCGCCCTCTCACCAACCCACGCCAGTCTGTAACCGTCTCCTTCCTCTGCCTCACGTCTCTCCTCTCGCTTCCTCCCCTCCTCTCAACCTTCCTTTCGCTCCTCCCGCCCTTCATTCTCCTCAGCACTTCTTCCCTCCACCTCATCCGCCTCTCAGCCTCCATTCTACCCACCACTCCCCCAGACCCACACAAGCAGCAACCAGCAGCAGGCAGAGGGCGCACAGCAGCAACAGCAGCAGCAAGGACCACTGGAGCCACAGGCTATGGCATGGCACCAAGCGACGCACGGCACGGCACGGCACGGCACGGCACAGTCGGCGACCTCAGCACATGACACGAGGTCGCATGCGCCCCAATTTGTGTCATCAGAGGCTGACACCGGGTCCAAATTCCGCAACTCGTGAACACACCCCAGGTTGAAGCATTGCACACAGTACAGAGCCTTCTCCACATGCATCGAGTCATCACCAATGAATGGTGGATGGCTCACTTTGCAACGGTTGACAGTCAACAGTCAACGGTCACAGTTGGTGTTTCTAACACGCCAGTCAACCACTGTAAACGGTGGTCCCCCTCACCTGGTCGTCAAGGAAGTCGGTGCATTTGACCGCCACGCGCATGCCGTTGGATAACCTCAGCTCCGTCACTCCCACACCCAGATACTCCCTCTGCTCCTCCACCTCCCTGCACGGGGGTGAAATGAGAGAAGAGAAGAAAGGAAAAGGAATGGAAGGGAAGGGAAGGGAAAGGAAGCGAAGGGAAGGGAAGGAGAAGGAAAGTGTTTGTAGAAAACCAGGTTGCATTCCCTGCTGCTGCTCAACAGCTCTCACCATTTTCTTGCACCCTCATGATCGCTCACCTGGCCACTGGCTATCAGTCACCCTGCCACCCACCTGCCACGGCTGCCACTCATCCCCCACTGCGTGCCACTCACCCCGGTACGGGTGGTGTCTGCACGATGCTCTCGGGAATGTCGTCCAGAGTCCATGGCTCTATCAGCTCCACTGCTTCTTCGCCTTCACCCCCCGCTGCTGCTGCTGCTGCTGCTTCACCGCCCCCTGCTGCTGCTGCTGCTGCAGCTGTTGCTGTTCCTGCTGCTGCGGCGGTTGTTGCTGTTGCTTCTGCCCCCTCTCCTCCCCCTTCCACCCCACCCCCACCCTCTAAACCGCCATCCCCCTCTCCTCCTCCCTCTCCTGCCTTTTCAGCATTCCCTTCTCCTCCCCCTTTCTTCTCTCCTCCCTCTCCACCACTCTCCACCACTCCCGCCGACTCCCCGTCTTCCCTCACCGCGTCAGCAGCCTCCTTCGCCTCATCAGCCTGAGCAGCCTCGTTGGCCTGCACAGCAGCCTTGGCAGCCGCGTCAGCGCGCATGGCAGCCACAGTGGCCTCCTTGGCGCGCATCACGCGGGCGATGACGCCTTGAATCGCCTCCACGGTGGCCTGCGCCTTGGCCTCCACGATCTTCACCACGCAGCTGCTGCTGGGTGAGATTTCCGACGCCACCGCTGCCACTTCTGCCGCTGTGATGCCTGGGGTCGGGAGGCGGAAACCAAGGGAAGGGGGTTGGGAACGTAAGGGGTAAAGGGATCGTGGGCCCACCCACGATCTTCACCACACAGCTGTTGCTGGGAATATTTCTGACGCCACCGCTGCCACCTCCGCTGCTGTGATGCCTGGGGATGATAGGGTAAGGAAGAGGGAGGTGACGGGGAAGCGAGGGGTAGAAGACAGGGCAGGGAGGGAGGGACGAAGGGGAGGATGGGAGGAAAAGCTGAGAGCAGGCAGGCAGCTGCCTCTGCTCTCTCCCCATAATCTTCACCACCCAGGAGCAACAGCTCCACAAGTGCCTTCTAGTTCACCAATCAACCTTCGCCACCTAGGAAATGATCTGACAATGACTCTTGTCGCCACCGACAGAACCACCAGGCTATCCGCACGGGGCAGCATCACCACACCAACCCACGTGGCAGCAGTGCCTTGTCCAATCGTGCCTCGTATTCCATGCCAGGAAAGGGCTCGACCCTCAGAAAGTGCTGCAGGTACTCCTCTCTGACTGCTGCCAGCCAGTGCACCTACTTAAAGCCCCAACAAGAGCACTGTACCTGGCAGCAGCGCCTTGGCCAGTCGTGCCTCGTACTCAATGCCGGGCGAGGGCTCGTCCTTGAGGAAGTGCGCCAGGTACTCCTCTCTCAGCGCCTCGCTGTACGTCTGCTCCCTCTCCACGTATGCCGACTCCACGTCCGCCAGACACTGCACGCGCGCCATCGCCAGCTCTCGGTTTGAAATGCCGTGCACTTGCACTCGCGCGACCTTGGGAGAAGCGGAGGAGGGAAGAGAGCGAACAGAGGGGGAGCAGAGGGAATAAGGAAGGGACTCTGGGGCTGCATCACCACTTGACGACGCCTCGTCACCTCCAGCTGGGCTCAGAATGAGCGTCAGCTTAAATCCTGGACCAGGGTCCCTCGCAGTGACCGGCAACGGGGAACTCACAACCGACACGCCTCCAACCACACACCCCACACTCACCTCCATCCACAGCGCCTCCAGTGCCTTGAGCGTGCCCTTGTCCTGACAGCTCGCGCTGAGGGAGAAGGAGCGCGTGGACTTCACCAGCGCCTCCACCGTGGCAGCAGCGGCGTAGAAGGGCGGGTTGGGGCGGCGGGAGAGCAGGAAGAGGCGGTGCGAGAGGGCGGCCTGGAATAGCTCCTCCACCAGATACTGCCTGTAGTCCATGGGGGTCACCATGGCTTGCACTGGCGCCTTGCATGTCACCATCACTGCTGACTGGGAGAGAAAAGAATGGGGGGGGAGGAGGAGGTGAGAGCTGAGAATAGCTCCTCCAGCAGGTACTGCCTGTGGTCGGAGGGGGTGACCATGGGGCGCCCTGGGCAGGGAGGGGCGATGCATGAAAGGAGTGGTTATCATGGTGCTTCAAGAGAAACGAGCAAGTGCAAGCATGGAGAAGCATGGAGGAGACGCATGGAGAGGAGAAGCAGCAGCAGCAACACTCGTAACCTCACTGCGTTGCACTCCACGCCACACGGCTGGCCTTTCCCAGACTCACCCCGCCAGCCTCCCTTTCAACGAAGACGGAGAAGCGCGGCTGCGAGTGCACATGAAAGGGCTCCTCCGGCACTGACGGGCGCGCGGATGGGCAGAGCGGCAGCTTGGCTGCAAAGTGCTCCGCTATCAGCGCCACCACTGCCTGGTGGTGGGGAGGGAAGGGATGGGGGCGTGACAGACAGGGTCGAACATGGCATGGTCAACAGAGGGGTGTGATCCGGTGGGGTGGGGGTGATGAGTGCCTGATGTTGCACGGGATGCAGGAGAGGGGGATCAGGAGGAGCGAGAGCGAGACCAGCAGGAAGCCAAGTGAAGTGTGGGGAGGGACCGGCAGGGTAGAGAGCCGAACACAGTGATGCGTGAGCACTAGCACACACCCCACATGCTGCATGCTGCATTTGCACAGACTGACCTGAGAACTGCTAGCCTCATGCCACCTGTGAGCGAACAACCCCCACGGCCACTACGGCCATGTTAGCGGTGTGGTACCACGTGTGGTGGGCGCATGAGTGCAACACAGAGGTCCATGAGTGCTGCTAGGCACATGCCCCACATGCCCCACATGCCATGCTCACCCACCTGAGCGTCAGGAAAGTCCCCCACAGCGACTACAGCCATGTTAGCGGGGTGGTACCACGTGTGGTAGAAGCGCTTCACAGCACCCGCTGGCACTCCGCGGATCACTGACTCCAGGCCGATGGGCAGGCGCTCTGCATACTGTGGGAGGTGCATTCAGGGGAGGTGCATTCAGGGGAGGTGCATTCAAGGAAGGTGGATTTACGGAGGTGCATTTGAAGGAGGTGACTCCAGTGAAGGTTTCAGCTTGCGGGTGGTGCTTGGCTGGGGCTTGTGGGAGAGAAGGGCAGATGGAAGAGAAAGGGATAAGATCTGCATCACAGGTGTACAAGAAACGACTCGCTGCACATAAACCTCAACCAGAAGCCTTCAACTCCATCCCCTAGGCCCCACATGCTGCCCCCCAGCTGCCAGCCAGTGTACGTCCTGCATAAACCCCATGACCTTCGCCTTTCCCTCCCTAAACCAGAAATAAACCCCGAACCCATATAACCCGAAATCCTAAACCCTGCTACTGGATAACCCCAATCACCTTGCTGCCGTGCATGAGCAGGTGCCAGTGCGCGTCCTGCATGCGCCCCATGGCGTTGCGCCTCTCCCGCCACTCCTCCAGCACCGCTCCCCTCTCCTTCTCCACGTCCTCCTCTGACACGCGGATCTGCACCCCCCCACGCACACGGGGGAGGGCGCACACAGAAAGGCGCACAGGAGGGGCCACACATTATTTCCCAAACCAGTGACTCAGGGAGGGATGGATGAAGGCAGCACCTCGGGTTTATCAACAGTGAGCACAGCCGGCCACCGGACCTGGACTTAGAGAGAGAAAAAAATATATATATTTGAATTGGCCTCGCCTCGCTCATTGTCAAAGTCAGCAAGCATGGACACGGCATGCGGCAGCAACTCAGGCCTATCCACCTGCAGCTGCATAGCACTGCACCTCGAGAGACTCCAACTCCCATCCCATGGCACAAACGCACTCCCCCTGCTCACCTCGCTGGCGAAGTCAGCTAGGATAGACACAGCGTGCGGCAGCAGCTGGGGCTTATCCACGGGCAGCTGCAGCTCGAGACACCCCACCTCCCATCCCATGGCACACGCCCCCTCCTCACTCACTCCAACTCCCATTGTGTTGCTCACCTCACTGGCAAAGTTAGCCAGAATGGAGATGGCGTGCAGCAGCAGCTCGGGCTTATCAACGGGCAGCTGCAGTGCCGTGTAGTGCAGCAAGAGAGACCCCAACTCCCATCCATTGCACAAGCGCCCCCCTCCCCTGCTCACCTCGCTGGCGAAGTCAGCCAGAATGGAGATGGCGTGAGGCAGCAGCTCGGGCTTATCAACGGGCAGCTGCAGTGCCGTGTAGTGCAGCAAGAGAGACCCCAACTCCCATCCCATTGCACAAGCGCCCCCCTCCCCTGCTCACCTCGCTGGCGAAGTCAGCAAGAATGGAGATGGCGTGAGGCAGCAGCTCGGGCTTATCAACGGGCAGCTGCAGTGCCGTGTAGTGCAGCAAGAGAGACCCCAACTCCCATCCCATTGCACACGCCCCCTCCTCACTCACTCCAACTCCCATTGTGTTGCTCACCTCACTGGCAAAGTCAGCCAGAATGGAGATGGCGTGCGGCAGCAGCTCGGGCTTATCAACGGGCAGCTGCAGTGCCGTGTAGTGCAGCAAGAGAGACCCCAACTCCCATCCCATTGCACACGCCCCCTCCTCACTCACTCCAACTCCCATTGTGTTGCTCACCTCACTGGCAAAGTCAGCCAGAATGGAGATGGCGTGCGGCAGCAGCTCGGGCTTATCAACGGGCAGCTGCAGTGCCGTGTAGTGCAGCAAGAGAGACCCCAACTCCCATCCCATTGCACAAGCGCCCCCCTCCCCTGCTCACCTCGCTGGCGAAGTCAGCCAGAATGGAGATGGCGTGAGGCAGCAGCTCGGGCTTATCGACGGGCAGCTGCAGCTCAAACACCGTCTCGTCTGCTGACGTGTACGCGTTCTGACACGCGCCGAACTCCGCCCCGATGCTCTCAAGGAAGCGCACGATGTCATGGTTGCTGTAACGCCTCGTTGCGCTGAAGGCTAGATGCTCGAGAATGTGCGCCACTCCCCGCTCCGCCTCCTCCTCCGCCAGGGACCTGCAGGGCCGCGGGGGAGAAGAATGGGAGGGTCTGCAAGAGAGCTTGAGTATGTGCGCCACGCCCCGCTCCGCTTCCTCCTCCGCCAGGGACCTGCAGGGCCGCGCGTGGCAGAACGGGGAAGGCGCATGGCGGATGGGGGGAGACGGACGGCAGGTTGGAGGATGGTGGGACGGAGGAGTGAGGTGGGGGAAACGAAAGGGAAGTATTCCAAGAGAATTTGAGTGTGCTCTTTGCAAGCACGATGTGATGTGGTGGTTGCTGTAGCGCCGCGTGGCGCTGAACGCCAGGTGCTCCAGTATGTGCGCCACTCCCCTCTCCGCCTCCTCCTCCGCTAGGGACCTGGCGGAATGGGGGATGGCGGATGAGGGAAGGGGGGTGGGGGATAGCGGAAGGGGGGACGCGGAGCGGGAAGGCGGATGGGGGATGGCGGACTGCGGGATGGCGAATAGGGGGAGGCGGATGGGGGAAGGCGAATGTGGGAAGGCCAATTGGGGATTGCGGATGGGGGATGACGGATGGGAGACGACGGATGGGGGAGGGGGGACGGCGGATGGTGGATAGCGGGAGGCGGAAGAGAGTTGGGTGAAAGGATTGGGGCAAAACCACGCTTGAGAATAGTGGAAGTCTTCTGTTCCTTCCCACCCCACTCTCTCTCCTCACCCCGCTCTCCCCACACGGTCCTCTCCCACGAGAACCAACCCCCATGCTCTTCAGATCCTCACCCCACGCGGACCGCCAGCGCCAACGCGGCGCGGTGCTGCGGCTTGGCGTTGCGGCGCACGTAGTACGTCACGCCGTTGTCGAGCCGCCCGTGCAACACCGCGCCCTCCGGCCCCAGCGGGATCGCCGCTTTCCGCGACTCCTCGCTCCTCAAATCCAGGGGCTTTAGCGAACGAAACGACGACACGTGTCCGGCTCCTCCGCTTCTGCCGCTCATCCCGCCGCTGCCGCTTCGTGTGAGACTCAGCCGAGTGATGTCAGGCAAAGGTGAATCTAGCGAGGATTCTGGCTGCCGGGGGGGTGATGGTGACGTCATGATGACGCCAGCCGCGGGATCTAGAATGTCTGAACCAAATCTCTCAAGGAAACGAATCGGCTAAATCCTGAAGTCGATAGTAATGACGACAGAAACTCAGCTTGAGAATAAGTGAGGAGTAACGACGGAACGTGCAGCGGCTCACTGGTCGGGATATGCAGAGGCCGTGCTGGAACGGGCGAAAGACAGACGGCAAAAGGAACTGGCTTACAGTCGGGATTCTGCGATGAATGGACCGACTGAAGCGAGAAACTAATTGAGACCAAGGAACTAACGCCAAAATATAGATTCTCCCGTATGACCGTTGTTCTCCTTGCAGGCCGGCCCTGTAAAAGGAATAAGAAGCCTTGCATCATTGCAGCTTCTTACAAAAAGAATTTAAAGACTCTCGGATCCACAAGATGCATATATACAAGGGAATACAGAATTATCTTAGTCTGATTGCTTCACTGGAAGGATGGCTGTACCCGTTTTAGAAGTTCAAACGGCCAGGTTTCTGAGCTAGGGTTTCAATTCCTTTCATGGATCAATTTCAATCCAACGGCTCATCGGTTACTTCGCTAGGCTCGACTCTGAGATCTGGCTGCTTCGTCCAGCCAACTGTTGCAAAAAAGAGCACCTGGGGTTTCCAAACCTGCTCGTTTGGCTTCTCCCCTTCATCCGTCCGTCCGTCCCACCTGTCCCTCCTCATCCATTGCTTCACGCTCAACCGCTCCCTGCTTCTAGGCTCAAAACGCCATTGATCGCCCGCCAGTCGCCGCATCTCACTCGTCCGTTTACCTCCCTAGCTTGCATCTCACCGTCCTGCAAAACTTGGACGCCCTCCGCTCGCCTCTCACAGTTCAGAGTTTCCCAGTTCAATCTGATTCGTTGCTCTCCCCAGAGGTACGCACTACCACTCGTTTTGGTTCCCCCATGATTTCACTACTCTTTTAGCACCAGTTACGATACCTAAATTTGGCAGACTATATATTTAGTCTGGAAGCCGTTACTCGAGTTCTCCTGTATTTCTGGCTTATCGATGCACCTGGCCTCACGTCGCCGCAATATCCGTTTGGTCCTACGGTTGTGGCTAGTTTGCGTTACCACTTTTCACACCCGACCTTTCATTGATATGATGATCGTCTCGTCCTCCGTTAGGATACTTGGTTCAGCGACATTTATTACATAACCATTGCGTCAATATTTTGGACATTCGTTGTCGCTTAACTCTACGATCCGTGTCCTGGTTTATTGTGGCAGGTCTTTCGTCAACCAAGTCAACGAGGTTGTTTCACTACGTTGCGGTGGGCAGTCTTTAAAGGTATCTCGTCATGGCGCAGCAGCCTGGCATGATAAATATTCCCGGTCAGCCAGGCCAGATGGCCTATGCTGCCGCGATGGGTCAACCGACAATGGCTCCTCACATGATGGCACAATACCAGACGAACCCATCTGCGGCGGCTGGTGCTGCTGGATCCGTGCCTGCTGCTCAAGTGGGGTCGCTACCCGCTGGCGCACCTGGGTACCAGCCTCAGGCGCTGCAGCAGCAGTTGCAGTATCAGCACCTTCAGCAGCAACACCAGCAGCAGCTGCAGAGCTTCTGGCAGCAGCAGATGCGTGACGTGGAGCACGCAAATGATTTCAAGAACCATCAGCTTCCGCTCGCGCGTATTAAGAAGATCATGAAGGCTGACGAGGACGTTCGCATGATAAGTGCAGAAGCGCCTGTGGTTTTCGCGAAGGCTTGCGAAATGTTTATTTTGGAGCTAACCCTGCGTTCCTGGATTCACACAGAAGAGAACAAGCGTCGCACCCTGCAGAAGAATGACATTGCTGGCGCTATAACGCGGACGGACATTTTCGACTTCCTGGTAGATATTGTCCCTCGTGATGAGTTGCGTGAAGAGGGAGGCGTAGTGGGAGCTGTTGGGGTCGGGGCTGGTGCAGCAGCCAGCGCTTTGGGCGCCGTCCCGCGCCCGCCTGTAGGTATGCCTGGCGCAGCAGATCTGCCGTTTGGTGGCATGTATTATATGCCGCAGACTGCTGCACCAACTGCGGCCACCATGCAGCAGCCTACTGCAGCCATTATGGCACAGCATCAGATGATGGTCAACAGGCATGCCATGGGAATGGATCCTTCCATGTACGGCCAGCAGCAGCAACAACAGCAGCAGCAACAGCAGCAACAACAGCAGCAGCAGCAACAGCAGCAGCAACAGCAGCAGCAGCAGCAGCAACAACAGCAGGCTCAGGCTGCCCAGCAGCAGCAGCAGCGGGCTGCAAATGCCATGGCAGGGATGGGTTACATGCAGCAAATGCCTCAACAGATGTGGCAGCAGCAAGGAATGCCACCTCAGTGATTCATTGCTAGAGTCTGAATAGCATTGCATGCCTTTGATTTGCCAAGGGAGGGAAGGGCCTTCAATGATTTCTTGAGTTGCCTTTTAGGTCAAGCCAGCTGTTTGTACAAACCACTGGTTAGTGTTGTGTTTTGTTTTTTTGCACTTCGGAGGGAATATCACGGACTATCTGATGTGAACAATTTATTGAGGTTGCAATATGCTTTGGGCTGCTCCATTAGATCGTTAGTGAGTAGTGAGAAGCTGTTCCTTCGTACGCGGACAATCCATATGCGCATGGAATTGCTGAAATTGCGCAATACCGCAGCTAGCTCTACCGAATCAACTTTACAGGCACTTCTCGAGTCGGAATTGTGTACAGTAAATCATACCACACGAGCCCCACCAAGACCCCAAATTAGCCGACATCGCGCCTCGCTACTTCCGCCGCCCTTGAACAAGAGAAGGGACCCTCACAGCGCGTTCCGCACATCGGCTTTTGAAGACTCTAGCACCCCGAACCTGGTTCGCGAGTGTGGCTGCCAACAGCGACGAAGCAGGAATCCAGCATTCAGAAAGTTCGTTACACACAACAAAATCCGCCATCCCATGACTCTATGGGACTCTTCAGGAAATAAAAATATCCTGAAATTTTCCTGGTTCGTCTTCTGGAATTTTCAGATCAGGTGCCCCTGCAACGTTTTAGTCGGCGGTGGAGCAGACTCCCTCGTCTCAAAGAATCCATGGTTGCTCCTGATAACTCGATTCGCTCCAGAACCCCTGTTTGTCTCCGTAAGCCATTTTGGCTCGTTTATCTCCTCCCTGGCTCCGCCAGATTTAACAGGAGGCCCTTGCGCACATTGCGATGCGATGCGGCTCGCTAATATGTCCTCACTCTTCTGTCGTCGTCATCCGTCGTCGTAGTAGGCGTTACATGGTGCATTCGTCGCCCTCGCAGCGCGCTGCAGCAGTTTCACCTCCGCTATCGCTCGTCCCCGCTAAGGACCGACTCGCTTTGTAGCAATAGCTCCGCTTGCATTTGACTGAATCGCCACGCTAGATTTCACGGACTTCGGATACTGCGTACGCCTGAATTCGACTCTGAAAAGGCTTCCAAAAGCACATCCGGATATTCTTTATAGTTGTTTGAAAATCAATAGCATTTTGTTTAAAAACATCTTGTTTTTTGACTATTGATGCTGCATATTCACGCGTTATATTACACGACCATGCGACTCCTGGGCACGCGTGCGATAGAATCGATAGCGCAGCAGCGGCAAGAGCACAATCAACGGTCATGGATGAAGCACCAGCGACGAGAATCCCATAAGTTGTGGGCGACGCGTCTTCTGATGTCGTGCCTGATGACTACCGCCTTGCTGAGCGGGTCTCGCGGAGCAATTGACGGCGTAATTCGCGCAGGCTCCAGTGAGTAGCCTCACATTCGGAATTTCCGGAAGCCCTTTTTTTACAAAACATTGCATGGATCGAAACAAAGGAAACCATTTTCCTCTTCCTTTTACTCCCCCACACCCTGCAGCAAGCGCGCCTTACTTGAGGCGCCTCAAAACATTTCCCCTACTCCCTTCTCCACCTCCACCGATCTCCTTCTCCTTTCCCCTTCCGGACCTCTTTCCTGAAGGAATATATTAGAGAGCGTAGCGATAGCGAGAGAGTCTCTGCTATGGGAATGATGTTGCGCCAGCAACTTGGTAGAGTTTTGGTAGCGTTTGCCTCTAAGGACTTTGTGAGAATTGAAGTAGCATTTGGGCCAAGTAGAATTGCAATATCAATTATCAAACACACAAGCAAACACAAACATATATAGGCAAGCAAGAGTTGCACAATTGTTGCGTGGCGCTGCGAGTAACCCAACCCACACGAAAGTGCTGTGCAGGTGGGTGAACGCGCCCCGCACATTTCCAACCCAACTCGGCACCGGAATGTCTCACCGTGCACGCTACTCCTGCCAACACAGCAAGTGAGCAGCGTGCCTCACAAGCAAGGCACCTACGACCCCCAAGACTCGTCATTCCTAGCACCGATTCCGCCGAGTTCGCTGCAGTAGCTCACAGTCACCCGTAGTCACTAATGACCGCCACCGAACTCGTGCGTCGGTGCCGAGTAGACTCAGTCGTTAGGCGCCGACCTGCCAAGTCAAAGGTCATCGAGGGCCCTTGCTGTCGTAGGGCCCTCTAACACTCCCCTGCCATACTACAGCAAAGCCCTTTATAATCACAGGGCATGCATACACACATACACACCAAAACAAAGGGATGCACACAAACGAAACACGCTCAAAGTGTAAACACGCACCGCACCAGCCATGGATAGGCCATGGCACCATCCACATCATGGAGTGTCTAGGTCTTCACTCCCCTCACTCGAGAGCCGCACCTGCCCCACAGCCTCGAAGCAACGACTGAAGGCGGGGAAATGCAATGCCTTTGTGAGGTAGTCAGCAGGCTGCTCGCTCGTAGGGATGTACTGCAGCTGCAGCTTCCTGCGCTTGACCATGTGCTGCAGCCACATGTGACGACGCTCCATGTGCTTGAGGCTCCCCTTGAGCCCCATGCCACC